AAGGTGGACATTATGTTTTTAGGTAAATGCTCGGATTTCGGCATTTTTCCACGTGTTTGGATAGTTCATTTACTTATAAATGGTTTCTTATACGAATAGAAGGGATAGCCGCCATTCTTTAAAGCTTATGAATAAAAATGTTCCAAGTAAAAGATCGACGTTGGGGACAAACATTTGCCGATTTAAGGGCAAGAAACGTTTCTATTGGTGATGAAATAAATATTGGTGATGAAATAAAAAATTTCGATGAAATAAATTTATTGATTAGTAAAACGCCTCACAGTTGTTCGAAACTGTCTGACAGATTTAAAATGCCGAGCAAGTTCAGCACTCTGGAAAATTTATTGATGAACTTTGTGTTTCAGAATTGTTTCTTAAAGGAACCGTGTAAATCTGTAATTTGTACCTGCAGTGCAAAAACCATTGAACGCTGACGTACTTAAATGCTCCCTTAAGTGGCGTATTGGCACAGTAGTCTAAGGGATCTGCATCGAATACTGGAGGTGCGGGGTTCGAGGGAAATCTTTATCTTATTCACGAATCTCCTTGACCAAGGAATTTACTACGCTGCTTCAGTCCGAGGTTGCTCAGTCAAGGTACCTAGGCCACGCTTGCTTCGTGACTCTAGATTTTTCTTTAAAAAATAGGGTACTCCTGAATGATGACATGAAAACGGAGATCAAAAGGGCCTAATCATGAAAGTGAAGGAAAACCGACATTTCAACTGTGATCAACTTTCGTTTTTATTTATAAATGTTACCTAGGCAACTGGAAGCAGATGCGCGTAGTATGCTGCATTGTGAAATCTGGTCAGGTCTTGGAGGAGTTGTACGGCTTTTAACTTACTCAGGCTAAAATGAATGCAGTAGAATAAAGGTCTTAACATCAAACTTCTACTTGTTGCTTTGAATATCAAATAATGACTTTTATGCTCACCTTTAAGTTATTTCCTTCGTTTTACTCAACTTCTTTTTTCCTTTCCCACTTCTCAACTTTGTTTCTTCCTCCTCCGTTTTTTCTGTAATTGTCAGTTTTTTATCCTTCTTTTTACTACGCGAAGGAAACTCGTTCTGCTCAGAATCAACTTGCGTGCGTAAGCTCTGATTCATCTTGTTTTCCTCTTTGACCGATGTCTGAACGACAATTTCGATCGATTTGCATCGAAACGACGACACTTGAATGCGTCATTTATTCGACCATCAGCCGTAATGAAACTGAATGTCGATGATTGTCCAGGTTTCTACTCCGGCTGATAGCATAATGGTCATCGTCGTTAGGCTTCAGCTTTACCAACGCAGTGTGCATGATTTTCGCTCTCATTTTTCACTCAGCAGTCAACGGTGGCCGCATATCCTTTCGAGGAATGGAGGCAGATGCGAATGACAGTGCTTTCAAAGTTCCCTATCCTATGCCAGCGTTTAAGCTTCGGCAGAAGATAACCGGAGTTTGTTGCAGAATCCTTCCATATACTTGCCCAAGGTTGTTCTTAGCCATCCCCAGGGTCTTCGACCATTCGGTTGAGCATGTAATTCCTGTTTAGCTCTCCTTTCTGCAAGCATTTACAATATATGCCCAAGCCATCGCACATTTATGACCTTTTAATCTGGAGAAGCAGCGGCTGTGCATCAAGGTTCTCTCGGATATATGATTTCCTCACCAGCGGTTCATTTTAATACTCATTTTTATGAATATTAATTTGATGTATTTTGCTCTAATCAGCATGCATAAATTTTTGCTCAATGTTTTAACCCCTTTGGCTTTAAGTGCAAAATTCAGAGAAAAAAATGAGGGCGTTAAGGGAGTATCTCAAAGGCCACTGCTGTTATGGTAGTGAAATTCACCATCGTCTTTATCATCATCATGGGGGCATGGTTATCCCTGTACCGATGATAATAATGGGACGATGGTCAAATACGCTGATAGTCGACATTTGGACATCATTTTGTACCGTTGCTATGGCCTTCCTAGTGTTCCTCATCCATATCACCTTCCTTATTAGTCGCCATTGTTAATACAACGATGTTCGTAATCGTTGCTTCATCTTCGTAAATGCTTCAGTCATCGTAACAACGTCATGATGATTAGTCGTAATATATGACATATATACCTGAACTTCATATATTATACTACTTAAACAGTATAATGGTTAACGTTATGCAGTATAACAGAAAGTATTATATCTGTTACTCTAAGTAGACAAGCATAAATATTATTTTCTTTCACTGTGCTTTCTTTTACTATAGGATGTATGAGGTACACATGTTAGTTCACCTACCAGAATTCTGTTGCACGAAATTTTTCCAAACCTGTACGTCTGACGCTTGATTTTAGCGTTAAGTGGGTTGATAGACAATGCCCCTTTTTTCTTCGCCTACGTGTAGTTTCTTTGAGATAATGAGGCCGAAAGGTCGTGGATTGTTCGTTCGTGCATTAGAACGAACGGTATTTGCAATGAACTCAGCAGTGCATACCGCTTGGAAGTTGTGCTAGATTTTTGACCTTCAGACTGAAGCCTCGTCACGTTGTTGACTTAGCGGGGGTGGGTCACAAAGAGCATCGTCGTTCGTTAATGTTTAATGTCTTGTTGTGTTTGATCTTGGTTAGCTTCAGTTAGTCATCGTATCTATGTATGAACGTTCCGACTAGAAAGAAATGAATCTTCGGTTTGGTTGTTCGCTTATCGTCAAGCTACCTTCTGTTCTTAGTTGTTTGTGAGTTTTACGTAATGAACTTATTTGGGCAGGAAGGGCATCTGTTGGCTACCATTTATTGATCTGCATACCTTTAAGAATTTCCATGTGTGCTACTACCACTATTTCCAGACTAAGGTTATATTGTCGTAAATGTGTTTATTGTTATTTTCTAATTTATATTTATAGTATAAATTTAGTCTTATCGAATAATATCTACGATATAGGAAACTCATTTAGATACTGCCGTTTTCAATATAAATGATGTAAATTCAGTCAGATAGTTGTAAAACAAATAGCAGACACTGAAAATGAACTAATGCAGGGATTAGTGATTTATCTTTTCCTTCATTCATGCTTTTTGTGCAGTTACTTTGACCT